AAAGTTTAGCATTATTCTTTTTGACAGTGCTTTCTAGACAATTAAGCAGGTAATTATATATCAGATAAATAAGCTAAATTAGCCAAATACTTTCTCCAATGAGAAAAAGTCCCTCTGACATGTTCCAGGGGCCCTCTGGAAAATATCAGAGTTAACTAGAGGTAAAAGCACCTTTTTGAATTTGATTTTGGGAAGCTATTAAAAGTTTTAAGGCACTTGCTTAAATAGGATTATAGTTTGCTATGAAGCAGTACTTATCTATTTAACCAGAATGACAACAAAATACCTTAAAGGCAAATAAAGAAGGTTACACAGTTGTTAGCAAACTTTAGCTTTTAGTCCTTTTAATATTAAGATCTCATTTTTTTAAATACTCTGACAACTCATTGAGACTTTAACCATGAGAAACTGCTTTGATAAAACAATTAGAGAACTTTTTGCAATTTTTCAATATTAAGAGCAGACTAACAATTTAAAAAACTTTGTCTTTTTAACTGAGAACAAAATTCTAATTTTGCTGTGTACTTTATACCGAGACTCATTTGCTTTAATTTTATATAGCATGACCATATTAAATTCTTCTACAAACTTTCTACAGCCTTTTTACATTTAGATTTCTCTTACTAAATAAACAGCTGTACTTCAGAATAAAGTTACTTTCTTTTATCAAAAGACACATTCTTTAGCATGCAGAAGTGTTTTCCTTATTACTTTAAGTAGTTTTAATTAGAACTTTAAACCATTAGGTACCTTAATGTTTAGTGAACACTGAGAAGTAGGCTATTATAAACTGTTACACTAGCATTCTTTGGATTGACAAATTTATGAACATTTTGTAATTTCTGTTAACTATGAGCTTTACAACACAATCTCTCACTAAGCACAAAGTATATCTTTTTAACTTAGCAAAACTTTAAGGTTTTAGGTTACCACAAAGATTTCTAGGCTGTAGATAGGTATACACACTGTAACACACAATTAAAAAGGTGTTCACTTGCCACACTCATTTGTAACACTATGCTAGATTATTTACAAGACCTTTACTGAACACTAGACAAAGCCAAGCCTTTAAGCATTTTATTCTTAAAAGATTTAGCAGATAACATTGACTTAAATGACCTTAGGTAAACTTAGGCAGCTGATAACCACAAGGACATGCCCGCCTCAGCCAGACCCAAATTAGCATTAATGCTTAACATTTTTTATCAAATTTTCTGGAAGTTTTAGAAGGCCCAATTTTCACAAGCGCTTGTTTTTAAATCAATTTTTATTAATACTATCCGGAGGTAGGAAAATATTTTTCATCCGTACACCTAGACACACAAACATATAAACTGAGACACGACTACAGTCAGCAACACCCCTCCCACAAAAACATATACACAGACAGACAAACCAATATAAAGACTGGAGTTACTGATATCTAATTGCCTTCCCTCTCCTCAGCTTCTTGTCATGGCTTCTGGAACCAGAGGGCAGGAGGGGCATGTTCTGGTGGGGGAAGAGGGCGGTGAAGGTGGAAGGAGAGGCGGAGGGGGTGGTGCAGCCACTGGAAGAGGAGAGCAGGACAACGGCATGGTTGAGAATGTGGGACTTTAAGATGGCAGCGACACGTGTGAAGACAAAGGACTTAAAGATGGTGGTAGAGAGAGGGGGAGGGGATCGCTAGTTGAGGGAGGTGAGCGACTGAGGTCTTCTGGTGGATCTGAAGAGGAAAAAGGACTGAGCAGAGTAAGAGGCTGACAATCTTTAACTGGAGATCAGGCCAAGAGAACCTGAGTCATTGAACACTTAACATAAAGGTCTGGGTGGGAGCACAAAGTCCAAAAAGCCTACACATATGGGATTTCATTCTACTCTCCGCTCCAGTGGCAATAATTAACCAAGTTGGTGAGGAGGCTAAAATTGAAACTTCCCTCAGGGGGTCAGTGAGATTGATTGTCCAAGGGATACTGAGGCCCAGCCTCAGAGCAAAGAAAGACTAGCTTCTATTTGTGAATTTCCCTGGACAAATATATAGTAGCCAAATTAGAAATGAGACACCACCATGGGGTCTGAGCCTCTGCTTTTGAGGGCTGGTTCCCCATGTCTGCGCCACTTCCAAACTAATCCCGCTGAGAGGAGCGCCCAGCATCCCAAGTGCGCCAAGTCACGGGAGACGTCCTGGGAGCCTGGATGAGAGACATCTCCCCCACCACAGGGCCAGGGGTGGGCTGGATGTGTGCAGAGGGTGGGCTGGATGCCCCACCTGGACATAAGTACAATTTCTAATGGACTAGGTGAAATGGAGTTAGGGAAACAGACTGGGGGAAACTGAGGGACTCACCAGAAAATAGTCCATGCAGCGGAGAGCAGGCTGAGGTCCTGGGTTGGGGAAGGAGGGGTCGGGGCCACCGGTGGCTGGTTGGTGCCCCGCGCTCACGCTCCTTCCTGGGATTTCGGCACCAAATGTAAGATAAATTTTAGCCAAAATAAGCAGGCGAAGAGAGGCAACAAAGGGCCAGGTAGTTTATTTGAGTGCAACTCCTGGGTGATGTTCTGTGGTCTGGGTATTACAGGCCGGGGAAGTCACACCCGGTCAGGGAGGTGGGGACTTATAAGGGATTAGGAGGGGGAGGAGTGGGCAAGCTATCCTAGAGGGTGTGGAGAGGTATGATTGGCTAAAGGTGACATAATAGACAACTAGAAACTTTTTTTCCTTCCAAGAGGGAGCAGGCTGACATCCGGGTCTTAGTTGGCACATCAGAAGGATGGAATTCAGGAAGAGCTGTCCCCTTTCCATATAAGGCACGGACCTTGGGGTCTGGTCTGTTCTCCCCCCATGGCATCTCTCTGTTCTGTTTGCATGTCCTTGTTTTTCCTTCCTCCAGCCTAACAATTTCCACATATTTACTGACACCCCCAACTCCACCTCAGGACTCTTTATCTTCCATGTTTGTATCCACCTGTCTTGCTTTCCTCCACTTCAACAATTCCCTTTACAATGCTGCCAGAACTCTCCCTAGGTCCTTCCTTGGCAACTTCACACAGCCAGCACAGATTAATTCAAATGTTTCCTTTGTGTTCCATTGCTGGAGATAATTTGATCTTAAAGTAATGGGAGCCATTGGAAAAATGGAAGCAGGGTAATGCCATGTGATCCAATGTGTATTTTAAAGTCTTTTAGGTCTGAGACTGCATCACTGCATTCAGTGATACAAGGGACAGACACTACATGTGCAGGATTTTCAGCTATCTTTGTCTTGTTTATCTGTGGCCAGATCCCCAGCCCACTGTCACAATGACTTTTCCCAAATTTTGCCACCCAAGCTGTGGCCCACCCCTCTCATGATTTGTAGAAAGTGTTGACTTTTTACTATGAGAATTAGAATCATCAGGTGGAAACACTCTTCCTAGCCCTGACCCACATAGTCATCTGCATTCCCATCTTCCATGTTTCTTACCTCTATCTCAGAGGAAAGTGTACCTCTTTCATGTGCTCTAGACCTCATCCTTTCCATTCTCCTCTGAACTGGCTCTACAATTATACTCTTTCTCTGTATCCTCTCCAACCTTTCTCTTAATTGACTTTTTTTTCTATTCAAAGAAAAGAAAAAGAAAAGTTTACACCCTCTGTATCAGAAAAGATTTGTGAGTGTGTGTGTGTGTAGGAGACATTGTTTGAGTAAGGCAAAAATAAAGAGTTTGTGATAAGATAGGATGGTTTCACCCCAAGTCCGGATGGCAGACTTTCCAACGACCTTGAGAAGGATTTGGAACCAGGGCCTATTGTTATGTCCAGAATTCGTGATCCCCAAAGACTGCCAGGGAGCTGAGTCTGGTGCAAAAGCAAAGAACCTTTTTTCAAGCTAGCTCAAGCTCAATATACTATCTACACTGATGCAGCGGTGAGATGCGGGAGAGAGAGCGTTTCAAAAGCACAAAGGTTTTATAGGGGTCTAGGGGCAGTTGGCGGGGTGATGGTCGTGGCTTTAGCCGATTGGCTGGGGAAGGGTCAGGGCCCTGTTGCGCAGGTTGCCAGGCATGGATTGAGCAGGAATGGAGCTGGGTCGGGGACATAGTTACTGAAGTTGGAGGGCACAGAACAAAATGGAGTCGGTCCAGGTTTGCTTTTTCACTATAAAACCTGCCTCCTCTGCTTTGTCCCTTCCACATATGTGCTTTGTTTTTCTGCATACCTGCAGCTCACAAAACCTGACTCTCCAAGCCCCCCTCCCAAGATTAACCAACCCACTGGAGAGAATGAGTTCTCTTTCTTGGCCCAAATTCTAAATTTCTTGGGGTAAGTATTGGCCCATCTTGGATGATGTACCCCATCAAGGGCCAATCAGCTACAGTCAAGTAGGCAGCCAGTACAAATAGGGCTTCCAGAAGCCTTACCCACATGACCATGTGGATGGGGAATCAGCAAAGAAGGGAGATTTGTGAGTTACGTAAATTACCCTTTGGCAGCTGTCAAATATCCCTGCGTTACTTTCTACGTAAGGCTCTTAAAAGCAGGGTCTCCACATTTTCTCCCCCCATTCATCCCACTATCTACTGCGTTCCATGCTCAACTCCCTATCCAGCACCCTCAACTGTCTTCAGTAAAGTCAGTATCCAATTGCCAAACCAAAGGAAACTTGGAAATTCATAGCGCCCTCCTGCTTAAAATTCTTCAATGGTTTATCATCACCTAAAGCTATGGCTTTTGCATTTGACTTATCCCTTTGTCTAAAATCAATAGTCTTCCACAATGCCCACCATTAAATGAATTAAAGCAAGTGGATATGGTTGAAATGGGCGGGAGACTGCAAGTCCTACCCACCTTGTCCCACTCCCCACGCCCAAATGACCCACTGGAGGACTCTAAGTACTCACTCATTTCCACTGAGTATATTTGAAAACCACAGATTGGTAGGATAAACTCCAAATTTCTTAATTTCATAGATAAGGTCCCTTCAATACCCAGCACCTGCTAACCTTTCCTACTTTCTTTGCCGCCCGTGTTTCTATTCTAGATGAGTTCATCCATCCACAAAGGAATTTTGTCCATTGCTTCAGCTCTCTCAGTCCCATCCTGGTACAGGATGTTTCCTCTGCCTCAATGGGCCTCCTGCCTTTGCATGCCTGGTAAGCTCCAATTCATTATTTAAAATTTGGCTTAAATGGAATCTCCTCAGGTACTTCCCCATCACAGTGACATGACTTCCTAGTGCTCTGGTTGTTCTGTCACCTGTTGGACATGACTCTGTTAGAATGGAGTTCAGTTCAGCATTATAATTTGAGATTTTTATCCCCATGGTCTCCTCACTGCTGGAGCTTCTGGGTGGTAACACTGTGTTCTTTTCATCTTTGTGACTCTCAAACCTAGTCCAGTGCTTACACTTACTAAAGAGTTAGATAGAAGTTAAATAAATGGATGTATTTCTCAAAGTGATCTTTTCCTTACTCAAATTCCCATGATTACCTATGCACATGTATTTCTCCACCAGTATATGAGCTCAGGGAATGATACATGTATGGTAGTGTGATTGTGAGAATTAAATAAGATATACACAAAAGTGCCTAACAAGGCTGGACTCATCAGTAATTTTTCATCCTGGCTGTGTAACAGAATCCCCTACCGAGTTTTACTGTGTTTTAATGTAGGTTTATGGGCCCTACCTACTAAATCAAATTTTCCAGAGGGGAGTATGGGCATGTCCCATAGATGATTCTGATGCACATTCATAATGGAAATTCAACAAATGCTAGTTAATGTTCATTTTGTAACTCCAGGACCTGACAGAGACCAACAATGTAGTAGGTGCTCACTAAATATACGTTAAGTTGAAACTGAAATATACCACGTTTTCAACATTCAGAACATAACATTTCTTATGAGTGACAAGCCAAAGGGAGTTAAGATAAAAAGATAAATTTAGGCTAATGGGGCCCAGATCACAACTTGATTCTCAGTGCCTCATTGTTGATCCATACTTAAGTGAGCCCTCTGCTGCCCTTCGTTCCTCCCACCCCATTCCCACCTTCCTGCATATTCCCCAGTAAGAAGGCTTACTCTCTGCCCAACTACAATGCCAAAGGATCCCAAATAGCAAAGCATCCAAGCATTTTGCCTCCTAACTTCTTGCTTTGGCTGTGTTCTATCTCTGAGATATCCTTTGTTGGAAGTCTTCCTCTCTCATAACTACCTCATTTAATAGATCTGTAAGTCCTGTTAACTGTTTCCCATGTAATAGCTCTTGAATTTGTGCCTACCTCCAAAACCAGAATGCCACTGCCTTGGTTCATGCCTTCAAGATCTCTTGCTTGCATTATTTCAAATAGCATCCTAACTCTGCTCCTTGCCTGTAGTGAGCTGAACTGTATTCCCCCCAAATTGTTATGTTGAAGCCCTAAATCCCAGTGCCTCAGAATGTGACTGTATTTGGAGATAGGGCCTCACCTGGCCTCTTCTCTGTGTGCATGAATCAGTGGTGTCTCCTCTTCTTATTATAAAGACACCAGTCATATTAGATTAAGGCCCACCCTAAAGACCTCATTTAACCTTAATTACCTCCCTAAAGCCCTATCTCCAAATACAGTCATATTTTGGATTAAGACTTAAATATAGGGGTAGGGACAAAATTCAGTTTATAGCAGTTGTTCATTACCCTGATCTATGCCCTGTTTGCTTACTAACACAGCATTCCAGCCTTCTTCTGGTCTTCAGCAAGATTATTGCTGCTCATCCTGCAAAGCCTACCTCAGATGTCATCTCCAGGGAACCTTCCTGTCAGATATGGGCCCCTTTTCTGCATTCCCAATGCATCCTGAGCTACTCCCCATCAGAACACTTACCACACTGTCCCTCCATAGACTGAACTCAAGAGCAGGCACCAACCCTGTTATTTATGTGTCTTAGTGTGAAGCACAATGCCCAGCTTTTCATAGACTCTCTACAAATGGGTGTTGAAGGAGTTGCTCTCCATTCCTCTTCTCACACTTTATGCTCAAGTGATGACAAATTATCTAGAGTTCCCCAGGTGTATGTCTGTTTCAGGTTCCTGGGCCCCTGGCATATGCTGCTCACTTGCTGCTGCGTCCTTCATGCAGGAAATCAGTTGCCCCTTCTTCACCACATATATGCGTGTATGCATAAATGCATAGTAGGAAAAATAATATAATAAATGCCTTGTACCCACCACCTAGCTTAAGAAATGGAGCATTACCAACACTGCCTGACCCCACCCCACCCCTCAATGAATTCCTGCTTGATTGTCTCTTCTTACCTCCCCGGAGAAATTACCATACTGAATTTTGCATATTACTCCCTTACTTTTCTCTTTTCTTTTTGCTTTTATTTGTATCCCTAAACAATATATTTTTAGTTTTGTCTGCTCTTGAGCTTATATATATATATATATATATTCTTCTGTAATTTCCTTTCTTTTTTTAGCTCAAAATCATGTTTGTGAAATTCACCCACATTGATGCCTATAATTCTAGATCATTCATTTCTACTGTTATAGGAATATACTTTATTTATCCATTCTCCTGTAAACATGTAAGTTGTTTATACTTCCTTGTTTTAAGAAACAATGCTGCTGTGAGCATTCTTGCCCATGTCTCCTAGTGCACATTTACAAGAGTATCTCCAGGGGCATACATTCAGGAGTGAAACTGCTGAACCATGGGGTATTGATATCCTCAACTCTGTAAGGTAGAGGCATCTTGTTGGTCAAATGTTAAGCCACTTTGTATTACCTCCACCCTGTATGAGTTTGCATTACTCCATACCATCTCTAATACTTGGTGCTTTTAATTCTTGCTGATCTGATGATATAAAAGGCATCTCATACAGTTTATAAGTTACATATATAAATTTTCCTGATTTATGTAAGACATATAAAATATATATGTATATATAATTTCCTTATTATTAATGAAGTTAAACATCTTTACATCTTTTCACATGCTATTGGTCATTCATGTTGTTGCCTCTTCTGTGAAATGTCTATTCATGTCTTTTGCCCAGCTTTTATTAGATATATTTTTACTTTGCTTAGAATGTGTTTATATATTCTAGATATTAATCTTTGTCAGTTATGTGTGTTGCAAACATCTTCTCCCAGTGTGGATGCTCCTCTTTTTATCTGGTGACTTTGACAAAATATAATTAATTTTAATGCAGCCAAACCTATCTTTTCCATTATGATTTGTGCTTCCTACATCTGAAGGAATTTGTCCATACCTGAGCTTATGAAGACAACCCTTTATATGATCTTCTAAAAATTGTGTTTCCCTCATGTAAATCTTTAATTTCACATGGATTCAATTTTTGCAAATGGTGGAAAATAGTACCTTTACAAAAATATATCAATAACTAATTGTCCCAGTGCTGTGCATTGAAAAGTCCATCCTAGTAAATTACTTTTTATTTATACATCACTTCCCCTTACTAGCCCATGCATCCTTTAAATTTGTCTTATTTTTCTGTGTATACTCAGTACCTGGCATAGCTTCTTGCATTGTAAACATTAAATACATAGTTTTGGGTTTGCTTCTGTGCCCTTAAATCCTTAACACTGTAGACCATCTGAGCTAGAAAGAACCTAAAAACATTGTCTTGTCCAGCCCCTTTATTTCACAGGTGAAGAGATGGAGCCTAGAAAAAGTAATCTGTGCCACTCTGAGACCACATGGGAATTCAGGGCTAGAGCTGGGGCACAGCACCTTGTTTCCTATTTCTCCTAAAAGCCCAGGCAATAAATCTAGCTCCACTTTGCATGGTCATCCAGCATCCGAACAAACTCAGGGCCCAGTTAACAATGACAAAGAGGCTCTGGTATCTGCTACAATGGCAAGGGATTAATGCAATTTACCCTGATAAATCAAAAAGAAAAAGAAGGAAAAGACCAAGAATTAAAATCAAATTAAAAAGTATAGGAAAGACAAGTGGGTAAAAAATTATTGAATTCAAAAATCAAACACATGCAGGTTAGAATGATACACCTTTTCTGCATCTCTCAGATGGTAAAGATGAGGAGAATGCCTCAGAAAACAATCCATTGGAATGTAAACTTCTGACAGCAGCGACTGTCCGTTTTGCTCACTACTATATTCCTGTCACTTGGCACAGAGCCTGGCAGATAGTTGGGGTTCAATTAATATTTAATATTAAATAAATGACTAACACACTTGTGAATATGAGCTTTCCTCTTTGCAGAAGGAAGTGAGCAAATGTGAGTCCTACAGCCTTTCCTCCATGACACACAGCACATTAAGGAAATGCCTGTTCTTCAAAAGAAGCATGATTGGCTGTGCTACAAGTTCTGAAAGCTCTGGCCCACTAGATGATAACCTGCTCTTAAAAAGGAAATAGGAAGCATGGGTAAGGGGAAAACTTAAGTAAATATTGGTGACAGTATGCAGTTAGAAGTCCTTACACATTGTGACTAGGAGTGTAGGACTTTTCTGAAGGACAGTGTGGCAGTATGGATCACAATGCTAAATAGGTGTATCTTTTGAATTTATCTTAAGGATAGGACATACAAACACATGCATGTTTGCTGTGGCATTATTTCTACAGGAAAAAGGGATATATTCTAATTTTTTACTAATAGATTGGTTAAATGAATTACAATATATCCATACAGTAGAATACTACACAGTGTAAGTTGTTCTTTAAAAAAAAAACAGAAGAGGGAGAGAGATTAAAGATGGTGGCGTGAGAGGAGAGACAGAGGCTTCCTCCTAAAACTGGACACAATTAGAAAATATAGTTGGCACAACTAATCCTGAGAGAGCAACAGGAAAGAGGATGGCATCAGACTGCACACACCTGGAGAAAAGAGCAGACCTCACCGAACGGGGTAACATACCAGAGCTGTAGCTCCGTAGAACCCGAGCCCTTCCCCCACCCCAGCTCACCAGCTGGAGGAAGAAAAATGGAGCAGGGAGGGAGTGAAAGGCTTGGGACTGCTAAATACCTAGTTCAGGAGATCTGTGCTGGGAGCACAAACCTGTATTTCATGGTGCTTTCATGATACTCACATGACCACCGGGTTGGAAAGTTAATACAGGCGGAGTTCCTGGGGAGACTGGGATTGCGGCCACTTGTGGAAAGCAGGGATCCATATCTCGCTGCT